GTTAGGGCCAGGGAAGTCCTGAGGGGATTGAGTAACTCATTGTTTCTTTTCACAATCCCGGCTGATAAAGCCGACAGTGGACCGGACACTCGAGAGTTACTTAGAAGCAGTTTTGACGTGCTGATGTGAATTGTCACCAGTTCACCGCCGAAATGCTGGAACGATTCGTAGGAAGATTGGTTGTTACACGTGCGGAGTCGAACTCGCAAACTGCAACAGACTGCAACACGACAACGCTGTTACTTCCCACTACGCTACACGATACCCGCCAGTATCGAAATTGTAAAAAGCCAGGACAAGGCTACTTATTTTAAAATACAGTCTATAAATAACATATACATCTGCTTGCTGCTTTCAGCGTTCTCTATGCATCGCGTGATAATGCTCAGGAGGATGAAAAGAAAGCACTGGTGGCGAGTGGACTGAATTCGGTGATCAATTATGAACTGGGCAATATTGGTAAAGATAACAAAATTTGCCATCATGCGGAGGGAAACGTGGCTGGATGTGTCCATGAAATTTTGTCCGATGTTGTACTCTTCCATACAACAAATGATGTACCGGCTATGTGGGAGGTTATCGTTCTGGAATTTCTAGTTAAAAAAAAAATTCGATTAAGTTAAATAAATCTAAGTTTTCATATCGCGCTTCAGCGCTGCACAAGAAGTAAGATGAAGTAATGTCACTGCTAAGTCAACTGTTAGGAAAAATTACTGATAAGCCAACTGTTAGGAATAACCACGGATGCTAGGATTGCTTGAGCAGTTACTGCGTGGCACACATGTTACTAGGATGCTCCAATACGTCGGACGCACCTATGCCAAGCCCTTCGATTCTGAGCTATACATTTCCAGTTGGGGCCCATCGCCTGTTCGTTGTATATGCACCACCACTAAGAAGCCTCCCGAGTGGTCGTTAACTTTCTTTGAATATCAATTGCTATCAAACTACGTCTGTTGGTTGTCGGCAAGGTGAGCAGTATGTCATGCTCATCAAATTTTACTTTCAAACGGCTGCAAACATTTCCTACACGCTGTTCATTT